CGTCGTTTCGACTTACATCTCCATCATATTATTATCTGATGATTAATGAAGTCCAACCATAACATCAACATCGTCATCATCATCAAGCTGAACTTTTCCATATGTCATTGGATTTGAGGAGATCAGGTGCCGATAACTTAAACATGAAACATAAGCTCCAAGTTTTCTCTCAATATTTTGCTTCATTTGGCGATGCGATATATCTACATGGAACATCATATTAATCGGCATGTCTGACTTAAACACAATTCCAACATCAGTTTGTAGAATTTAGCTATTATAATGGGCAACTGTGAATAATTTATTGCTCATTGTTTGAAATGATTTTGGTTAGATGAAAAAAAAATTCGCGTAGGAGATTGAAGATAAAATGAGTGTCTAATGTAAGAGATTGAAGATGAAAGAATTGTCTAATGTAAGAGATTGAAGATGATGTCCACAACTTAAAGGAAAAACATATTTTTCCCGTTAGAACTAGTCACACCGGCGTGACGAGTTCCATTTAAATTTTAAAAAAATAAACCGTTTACCAACAGTCAATCCAACTGTCAAAAATTTAAAAATTATACCCGTTAGAACTCGTCACGAAGGCCATAAAATATTATTATTATTTTTTAAAAATATAAAAAAATATTTTTAATGGGACTTGTCATGCCGGAATGACGAGTCCCTCAAGATATATTTTTTATTTTGGCTAAAGGCCTCCTGATTCGGCCCATTAAAAAATTATATTCCGGAATGACGAGTTCTATAAAATTATATTCCGGAATGACGAGTTCTATAAGAATTGTTCAATTACCGTAGATCCTAAATTAAATATTTGAATGCCTTATGAGCTAAATAATTTATCCAGGTGCCGTAATGGGCCAATTTGGCCTTCACTTTCTTTCGATTTTTCTCTCTCAGGCTCAGATCTCGTTAAACTCGTAAATAGAGGTGGGTATACGGGCTACCGCCCGTTTAGCCCGCGGATTTTGACGGTGCGGGTTTAAACGGAGCGGGCTAAAAAGCCCGCATTCATAAACGGTTTTGAATTTTAAGGCCGCGGCCCTTCCATTTAACCCGCGGGCTAAACGGGCTTACCCGCGGCCCGTTTAATAAAAATAATTTTAAATGCTTTAAATGCAATAAAAAATAATGTTTTAACTTACTACACCTTTAAAAATGATCGAGCAACTTGAAAAGGAAGGTAGCACCGTCAAAATAATAAATAATATTTAAATTTTATTTTAAATAGCCGAAATATTATAAAATAATTTTTTTAATTTTTTAATCATATATATATATATATATATATAATATAATTACTTAAACTCAAAATAAAAAACAATATTCATTTATATCACCAAATTGAAAAATAAATAAAACAATAATCACATTATACTTTTATAAAACACGATTATTCAAGGCTATAATATGAAGACACAGAAGTGTCTAAAGCAGAAATTCAAACATAAAAATTCAACAAAGTCAAACATTATACAAATCTAACAAGAAAGTTGTCAAGTGTTCCTAATAATTATATTTTATGGATACTTTAGAGAAATACTAAAACATAATATGAAAATATAAAATAAAATACTTACAATATAAGAGTAAATTTGAAAGATACAATTATACTAAAATTGATAAAATATAAGTCATTAACTTTTTAAAATATATTTATTTTGTAAAAATCTTTAAAGTTGAAAAGTATGTTTTCAACTTTTTTTTTACTTTTCTTTCTTATTTTTAATCCAAATATTATGTTTCATGTGATATGTTATTAGAATATCACGTGACTTTTTATAATTAAAGAACAAAATGGATAACATACTTCATGAAAAAAAATAAAGGTCAAAATTAAATAAAAAATTCTTTAAATACAAAAATGATAATGATGTATATTTAAATGAAAAAAATATCAAGAAACGGTAAAATTATGACAAATACCTTAATAAATTTAAAAACTACAATAATTATAAGTAACATCATATTTATGGGTAATTTATTTTCTTTTTCTATAAAATTCTTTAAGTTTATTTTTTCTAAAATTTATAAATTTTAAATTAAGCGACTTTAGCGGGTTTAACGGGTAGCTTCGGTTATACCCATTAAACCACGGGTTTAACGGTCCAGGCTAAAAAATCTGTAATTTAAACGATCCTTAATTTTTGAGGCCCGAAACCTGCACGGATCGCGGGTTAAACGGGTAGGGTTAAACGGATAACCCGCATGCCAGCTCTCGTAAACCATGTCGCTGCTGAATCAGCTACCACAATTCAAAGAAACCAGTTGACTTTTCCTGTATTCGAAGTTCTTTACTTTACGAATACCCTTTTGTTTTGTTTCTGAAAAATTTTGAAAAATTTTGGATGGAAAACAAGGAAAACAGAAATGGATATTTTTTTTTGGATATTCTTCTTTACTTGAAAAGATTTTTTTTTTGCTTTGGATAATTGATTCACCTTTAGTGTATTGAGGGCTAACTGAAAGGAGGATTCTTGAAAATTTGTGTTAACTTGATGGTTAGGAAGCTTTTTTCCTTATAATTAGGTTGATCTCTTGGATTTTATTGATTGGTCTGGAGTTGAATGCCTTAATCAAAGCTCCAGTCACTCTTTGTCTAATGCTCTTAAGCAGGTAACTCTCTTCAACCTGTTATTGTTTCTCTTAATAATGGCCGGTTTTCATTCGTTATTGAATTATGTAGGCAGCGAAGCGTACTTTATTGTATGGAGAACTAGTTGTTTAACTGTAGTTCTTTTCAAACATTGATTTTAGGGTTAATTTTATTCTCCATTGTAAAGATCATGCATTTACTTTGCTATTTAAGTTGCTTTTGTGGGGAGTTTATGATCATGAATCATTCAATTTTCTTCTCATGAATTAGGGTTATAGAGAAGATGAAGGTTTGAATCTAGAGAGTGATGCCGATTAACAACTTCTGATTTATATCCCTTTCACTCAAGTCATTAAAGTACATTCCATAGTCGTCCTTGGATCCGAAGAGGACGGTAATGTTTTTCTATAGTCACCTTCCCATAAATCTTGAATGCAATCACATAGAAGCAAAGTTCTATTGACTTATCCCGTTGATGTTTCAAGTTGTACTCCACTAGAATTACCCTTCAGGTCGTCGATTTTTGTAGTATTTTAACATGAAAACTGCCTTTTCAGGTCCAAAGACGGTGAAGCTTTTTGTAGACAGGGAACATATGGGGTTTAGGTAAGGCCTATGGCATTGTTACATTCTCCCAATTTGTTTATCTATTTTAAGAACTTAACATTTCACTGAGAATGTCTCGTTTTACTTAATGTAGTAATGTCAACGACTTCCCTCCAAGTGACACTGCTGTTTTATACCCCGATAATCTAAAGGTACATCATTGTTTGTCATTCCATTGTCAGTTTTATTTTAAGAAATCATTGTGAATTGATAAATCTCACAATTTTCACTCCCTTCTTCTTTGCAGGGGAAACCAGTAGTCTTGAAGTATGTCAAGTTTCAGAATGTTCGTAGGTATGTCTATATTTTGTGTACTTGGCGTGCTCCATTTAGTCTTTGTCTTAACGTTATGTAAAATAGTGATATTGTTACTTTTCTACCAGCTTGACAATACTTATTGAAGACAATCAGTCAGGTTCAGAGATCACAAAGGTTCAGAAGATTGCTTTATATGGATCAACGTATGTTTTTTTAATAATTACAGTTCCTACTTGTCTGCATCCTTTTATATCATTCACTACAATCAATACAGCCAGAATTTGTGCGGAAATTATAATTTCTTACCGTACAGGAGATATGTTTATTATTTACTTCTTGTTTGGGGCATGAACTTATGTTTTAGTCACTTGTGAACTCATTTTCAAAGTACTGCAATGCTCGTTACTTGTTACTAGTAAAGAAAATGGGTAATTCCGTACTGGAGATTTCCAAACTTGAGAACTAATTGAATCAAGAGCTTTCTGGCATTATCTAAAACTAGCAAAGCAAAACAGAGCTGCTGAGCATGGTGTAATTTGTTATCAGCATATGCTGCCTTTTTTTCCTGTTAGCAACTAGCTTTGCTTTTTTCTTTGGTCTATATGCAACAACGATCACTTAGAATCAAGGATACCTAGCTTTGCTTCATTGCCTTTGTTGGATATCATTTAAGTGGTCTATATGTTTTTCCAGTCAGTTCTTGTTCTAGGCTTTGGGGTCTAATCTTGACTCACTTTAGCGTGTTCTCATATTTTATACGATTTCATGGACGACAGTCTTTAACTTCGGCATTGAAATATGTACCAGCCGGTTTCCCTGATATAAGTTTTATTATAAATGCAACGATAATCATTGGCTTAGGGATTAGAACAAAAGAAAAGTGTAATGAACTATTTTCCCTCCCTTATATGGCTTCTGTATTTCCTCTCATTGTATACGCACGCATGTTTTCAATGCAGGGTGGAAACAACGGACTAAAGGGGTTGAAGAAGATTGAGGATCATCAACCCTGAAAGGAGAGGGAGGAAGATCAAGAACATGGATGATGAACCCTTTACTTTAAACATTGATTTCCATTTCTTCTTCAAGTTTTGACTGAATTACTTTGATGAGAAAAATGCAGCACCTGAATTCTGAAGAAAAATGTCATGTTTATGTGACAGCATCAGCTTTAAGGTTCATTAAAGATTTGACAGAGAACAAATGTGTTGAATAGTGGCGGATCAAATAATTGTAGAATTGTGGATAGCTGAAAAACAATTACTCGCTAAATTCACATTAATCATGATTAGGAAGAAAATGCTTCCTTTTGTTATACAATTGTAGAATTATTAGCAAATATATGGCATTTTTATTCTTTGGTTAGCTCTCCCGATCTATCCATGAATATATATAATCTTATTCAGAATTTAAGAATACTATGCATTTTAAAATTTAAACCTCTTTATATATGATCTTATTCAGAATTTAAGAATAATATATATTTTAAAATTTAAACCTCTTTATGTATTCATTACAATATATTAAGTTATTTTTGGTGAATAAAATAAAACTTAGTTATCAAGCAGTGGCCAACATCATTCTGACGAATTCTTCATAGTTAACTTGACCATCTCCGTCCAAATCCGCTTCTCTAACCATCTGCTCTAACTCTTCATCTGTTAGTTTCTCGCCTATGTTGATCATCACCAGCCTCAGCTGCCATTTACGGTATTCAATTCAAATCCATCAATTTTCGACACAATATTTTACATTTAGTATGCAAATCATATCCGTGTTTTAACATATTGATTATAAGAATTGACCAACCTCATGAGGTGATATGTAGCCATCTTCATCTTTGTCAAACACCCTGAAAGCTTCTCTCAGTTCATCTTCGGCTTCTGCTTCCTGTACTCCAAACAAGTGATATTTCTTTACGGATGAAAAAAGAGAATTCTCGAGGAAGGACTTTTTTACCGATGGTAAAAAGCCTTTTCCCTTGTAGTGATATATGACGCTGAAGATAGAGTAATTGATTACCTTCATTTTCCTTGCCATGAGATTCAAGAATTCCCCGAATTCAATAGTTCCATTGCCATTGTTATCAACTTCATCTATCATGTTTTGGAGCTCTTCTTCTGTTGGATTCTGATCCAATGACTTGAGTGCAATGGCCAGTTCTTCCATGGTTATGCACCCTATAAACACAATTCATTCGGGTTTTGAAAACAAACCGATAATATCACCATGTATTCATATAACACAAAGAATAAAATTACCATCTCCATCTTTGTCAAAGAGACAGAAGGCTTCTTGGAACTCAGCAATTAGTTCTCCAGACATGATTTCTCCCATGTTTGCTGATTTTAACATGAGGAAACACAAGATCATGCAAAATATTAAGACAAAAAAAAAAAAAAAAACTGAAGACCGATGCTTGAACAGCAGTCTCAAGTATCAATCTTCTGAAGCTTCCCTTGATCAAGTTAGTTAAAGAACAAAGCATTTTATAGTTAAAGAAAACTGATGACGTGAATAATTGTAATAAATGAGCTTTCTGGTAAGTTGTCGAGTTTTTAATTAATTTCAATGTTCATTTCTTAAAGTCTCGTTCATTGATTTTTTGTTTGAATTCAATTTTTCATTTTCCATGAGACTTTTCTCTAGGATTTTGGCCTTGAAGCTGCCTAGTACATTTCAAATTATTATTTTTACAAGCGAATATTTCAACTTAATTATTATTTTTAAATAAATAAATAAATAAATATATTTTTTAAAAATTATCACCAATGTTTCAAATAATAAACTAATATACATTTAAAATTAATCAATAATTAGTTATAGAATACCAATAAATTATTCTGGGGAGACTAAAAGTTGAATTGTCTTCTATGAAATGTATTTCCAGCATTCAATGTAACAAAGAAAATAAAGTCTAGCTTGAGTTTAGTTTTTAAATACATTGAATTCAAAAATGTTAATTCTTAAAAACTATAGTATAGTTATTAGGTATTTTCATTAACAACTTGTGTAACCTAATTTTCTTATTTTAGCACTTGACCATTTCTTAATGTATGTGTTAAAACTTTAAATTTAATGTAACTTTGACTTGGATTGATTTAAATGTTAAATTTAATATCATTATAAACTATCATGTGAATTTATTTTTTTAAACATTTTTTAGTATGAAATTTAGTACACTTTTTTTGAATTAATCACTAATATTCGATCTATTGACCGACTAATTCAGATTGAGTATTGCAGAGGCGAGGGCGATCCTCCCAACCCAGTTTACTCCATTCACAAACGCCATGATTCGAACCCCTGACTTTGCTTAAGGGACATAGTATCCCATCCTACTAGACCAACTGGTTGTTAGTGAAATTTAGTACACTTCGATCTGATCAAAGTATACTATCATGTAAATAAATTGAAATTTAATTATAAAAATGAATATTAAAATCTTTTAAGTAAAATTAACTCTGCTTGGAAGCCTAGCTGTACTAGGACCCAAGTGGGCAAGTGCCAGACCTAAAATGTTAAAATATTTTAGATAAAAAAATTAAAAGTTTTGAATTCCAGCAGTACCCAATTGAACAAGTTCCACAAAGATTCAAATTATTTATTTGATTATCATCCAACATGTTCTAAAATTAAACTATCAAATTTATTACTTATATTCATATTTTATGATGTACTATATGATATTGCAGATTATAGTGAAATTTAAAATGGAATTTGACTGGAATTGCATGTACTTGTAATTTTCGTATACCGTACACTTGGGGAGGCGCTGGTGGACTTTCATTAATTTTATTTTCAAACTTGTGATTAGCACGGCGTCTCTTGGGGCAATTTCCATGCTTTGATTTTGCATTGCCATACTTGGAATCATGATTAAATCTAATCGATTCTCAATAACATTATTCTATTAACAAATTGACCTTTCTCGATTATCTTGGCAATTTCCACAATCTTCATGCCAGGCCTAAGCCGGCAAAGAAAGAGAGAACATAACATCATAGAATTATTATGTTGTTGTTTTTTGTTTTGTTTTGTAGATGGTATTTTGTATTAAAAGATAAAACAAAGTAAATCATCTCAAAGACCTCATTAAAAAACTTCCCTAATCTTAAATGGAGGAAAAAGAGTGTAACTTGAGATGGTGAGAACCAAATACACAACAAACTTACATCAAACAATCGAAAACCAACCCTTCAGCAATTTCCCCAGCAGAACCAAAAAACCAAACTAGACGAGCAATAATAAGGAATATCGAAACTAAGAGGGACCAAACACATACAAACACAACCACAAAACAAAAAGCGAGCCAACACCTCTAACAAAACACAACCACTCCAGAACTAGAAAAAAACAAACGGATTCAACCTAAGCACAAGCACAGAGAAACACTCGAACCTTACTAAAAACACCAGCGACCCAAGTAGAAGCATCAAAAACTCCAAACATATTTCACAAGAGAAATCAATCGAAGAAAACCGATAACCTTCTCAGCTCTGCAAATTCCACCCCAAAGCAACGACAGCCGCTAGAGCCAACTCAGCTTCATCATAATCTCCTCGAACTCCCACATAATACACTTCATCTCTGCCTCCAACAAGATTGCATCTACTTCTAACGATTGGCCTACCATCCCGACACCTTCGATCAAAGATTTTCCTCTTTCCAAAGATGAGTCTTGACGACGCTCTCAGACTGACCCCACACGCCCGCTTTCTTCTAGCCTTAGAAACTCTATCAACACTCGAAGAACTGGGGATAATAGGCCTCTTAAGAGAGTGCCCAGAACTGATAACGCAATTAGCTACCGGATGTTCCTCATCCAACACGAGGGGAGAAGACACCTCAAAAGCCACGTCAAAAAACCCAGTGCTGGTGAAGATGGGTTGAGGCACCCATGCTGGATCCAAACCCCTATTAATATTAATTAAACCAGCACTATCGTCTGTAACATGCTGCTCACTACTCCACTCCACGTTATCAGCTGCATATTGTCCCCCTTCATCCATAAATTCATTTAGTTTATCAACAATATCATGCTCCTCACGTAGCCCATTAACGAAATGCACAACATGGAGCCCTGCACAGTCCACGTTGTCAACTACAAGATGTCCCCCAACATCTAAAAAAACATTGGATTCGTCGCACCTCTGACTCACCATCTTTCCATGATCTTGCGCGACAATACCCCCCACGATAACACCTCCTGCAGCACCCACCACCTCGAAGACAGAAGAGTTTGCACCTTCATCAACCTCCGCACAGCACGTTTCACCATCCACCTTGGTTCCATCGAGAATGCCTTTAGCCTCTTCCTGCATTTTAGATTGAACGATAATGGAAAAAAACAACCTTCAACGACAATGGATAATTTGTCTGGAATAGATGATATGGAGTGAACTTCCAACAAAACTCTAGCAACATCAAACCTAACTCGATTGGCAGTATCTTCATCTATCTTAATCACTCGTCCCCACAAGCTTCCAATGACGTTGAACAACTGAACACTCCAGATCGAAGGAGGAACATCTTTCAGCGAGACCCACACTTTAAATTTAAGCCTATTAACATAACCCTTCAACATATCCAACTCATCAAACCAAGAACAAATCCAATTGTCTCTTTTAACCCAACAACCCTGACAATCAATAGCATTCAAGAATTGGATAATTAGCAAACGGTCATGCCAGTAGCATTTTTGGATTAAAATGATGGGAATGTCATTACCTTCAAATTCTTAGGTAATGAATAGTTCCCACCATTTTAGATATAAATACCCTTGAAATAATAATTTTTTCATATGAATATTTCTCAATTCTTATTCTTTGTGTTTTACTCAAAATTATAAACTTAATAATAATAATAATATACAAATAATTTAATTTAACAAAATATTAATACATTTGAGTAATTAAAATTATTTTATATTTTTAACATTTAGTATGTTAATTATTGTATAATATTACGAGGTGAAAATATTATTATTGTAAAATATAATTATTTAAAATAATATTTAATTTTGAGTTAAGAAAATAGATCTTATACATTAAAAATTAATATATTTGTCCACTCGATATCATAATATTATTTTTCATATTATATTATATTTTATATGAATAAATATGATACTTATGAAAATTATTTAAAATTATAAGTGTCGAGACGTTATTCGCCCGGCGAAAACAAGTGTCGTTATTTTCTAAATCTCGTCTCGAAAAAGTAAATGTTTTTCTTCTGGCATAAGATAAAACACAAATTTGAGGAGTCGCCACCAATCATTGATCGAGGTGTGATTGGTCACCAAAACGCTATATTATTTTAATAAAATATATAAAAAATATTATTAAAATAATACAAAAAGGGTCTGCTTACCAGAAAATGAGTTCGAGAGTCGGTTACGTGTGGGGAAGGATTAACACCCCATAATGCCCAAAATTAATACATTGTTTATTAATTAATGTCATTGCAATAAATTAACAAATTTGTATTTAATTTCAATTTATGATCCCATAAAAAATATTAAGGATATTATTTTATACCAACAAATTATTTAAAACACTTTCCTAATCAGTTAAGGAAATATTTTATGACATATTGTATAAAATAAAATACCATATTACATATAATAATTTTAATGATTAAATATGAAAATACTAAAATTGTAGGTTACTATTAATAAAAACTTAATATGCAAAGTACTATAATAGTAAATAATTCTAAAAATAATATTTAAAATTATTATTTTAAAACAAAAGGATTAAAATTGTAAAATATCGAAATTAAAAATCTAATTCTAAATATCATGAAATCTAGGTATTATTAGTGTAATTTAACCCTAAATGACTATTAGGGATTAAAATATAAAGAATTAAAATATCATGGACTAAATATGTTATTTACCCTAAATATATGTAAATATGCGATTAATGATTAAAATAAAATAAAATCTAAAAACCAAATTATAATGCACAAAAATCAATTTCAGTGACTAAATTATAATGCATACAAAGTATAGGGACCACAAACATGATTTGCGCATTTATGAAATTACGGAGAAGCCCCTCCCCAAAACGATGTAGTTTTGAGGAGGATATAAATAGGCCTTAAATGGCTTAAAATCCTCATTTTCCCTCATTTCTTCATTTTGTTTCTCTCTAAACTCCTTCACCGAAGGGAGAGATGATCAGCGGCCGGCCACCGTCCGGCCACCACTGGGCACTATTCTAGCCACCGGTCACTATTCACAGTGGCCAAAAAAATAAAAATACCTCAAAACGTAGATCGGCTTTCCCTTGACCCGAATCTAAGCTTTTTCCGCTAAAAGCTAGTCAATCGGACTAGATCTGAGATTTTACCTTCGGTAAAATCACTTTTTCGATTATGTTTGAGCTTCTACGGAGGTAAGATCTCTTTTTCTTTTGCTTCCTCTGTTCGTTTCTCTC